TACTCCCTTTCCTTTTCACTCAATCAGCTTTATGGGGCAAGGGACATATGGTGGTCTCAAAAATAGAACACAAATAATTAATTTTAAATGTTTGATATATTAATATTTGCTTATTTCTAGGCTTTTATATTGAGATAGAACAGTTCATCATGAACAGTAAATAAATTTCTGCCAAAAAATGTTAACCGTGGAGAAGTAGAAATCATATTAAAGTGCACAAGTGTTTCATGTTCCATTATATACCATATCATGTCTCATTATTACCTGGCATGACAATGCTGAGGCCTGCAAGAGTTACGACACTTCTTTGTTCTTATTATCATTCTTATGAAACTATCATCTGCAATTAGATGGAGAGGAGTTATGTTTAAACGGGCACAACAGCTCAGCTGTGCAGAGCTGCACAAACTGGATACAGAAATACACAACGATCACCTTGTTTATGGATTTATTCTCCATTATGCCTTTGTCAAACCTTGCTAACATCTCATCGCCCGAGAGAAACCCACTACTGCCACAGGATTTTCTCTGCAGTTACTGTTTTGGGCCACCCAGATTGACAGCTGACCACAAAAAAAGGTATTCCTACCCTTTTACTGCTACCTCTCATTGTCAGAGTCATTCAATCCCTTGAGTGGCTAGCGGTAGTGTTACTTGCTCCAGGCATCACAGTGAAGGAACTGTGCATATAGTTGCATTAACATTAAAGGGCACAGTATGGAGAATATATAGCCATACTTCATATATATACATATGTATATATATGTATATATAAACCCCCCCCAATTTAGCCAGCACATGTAAGAAAAAATCTTTTCTATATAAATGCAGAGCTCAGGATTTTTTATATCATCTCATACAGTAAAAAAATACTTTTTCACTCTTAGTAAACAACCTGCTTCCTGGGGGAATCGGTCTTTCAAGGTACTTTATTGATCAAGCTGTATGACTTTAAGGAAGCTAGAAAAGATGAGTTAGAGTTTTGTCTGGGATGTGGTCACCAGAGAGCTGCCCACCAGCCCCTGGACAGAAGAGCACACATCCTAATTAAAGGCAACACGTAAAAGCCCAAAACAGCAGAAGTCAAGATTCATTGGTGGCATCTGGCAAGTGACAAAGGTAGAGCAGCTTTTGGTAACAATTCCTTGAAGGGAAAGCCAGAGTTGATTGGCATCCCCGCTGGGAGGCTCTTACAGAGGAGACTGTTAAACTGCGTCAGCTGGCAGGTTTGGGCATTGTCTGGGAAATGTCAAACCCTGTCAAGTACCCCAGAGCTCTCTGCAGCCAGGCCCAGCGAGGGACTCCTGTGGGCTCCCCTCTGAGAACAGAGCTATGGGCCACCAGCCCTGCGACAGAAAACACCTTCTGAGCAGCGGGTGCAGAGAGTGCAGTGCCCTCAAACCCCAGAGCAGCCAGGTCAGCCCCCCAGACACCCAGCATCTCCCCGCAGCACCTGCAGCCACGTCTGCAGCCCAGCCCTGGTGTCAGGAGTCTGCTGGGGCTGGGCGGGTCAGCGCCCGCACATGGGGGTGGTGATGTCACCGTTCTACGGTGACCGCCAAAGCTGTCCCTGCCCGTCTATGGGGGGGTGATGTCACAATGGCCACGGTGACCCGCCAAAGCTGTCCCTGCCCATGTATGGGGGTCCTGATGTCACCACGGCCGCTGTGCCCCATGGCAACAAGCCTATAGCAAGGGTCGCTGGGCTCCAGCCGTGCGTCAGTGCGACCTGGGAGGTGAGGAGAGGGCAGGGGCGGGATGGGGCTGCTCGGGGGGTGCTGAGGGAGGAGTGGGAGGTCCCACACCTCGGGGTGCCAGGCCTGTGCTGAGAGCTGACCCGCGCCCCGCTTCTCCCTCAGAGTCAGCTGAGGAGCATCTGGGAGAAACACCCCGGTGCTGCTGGGACAGGGACGCTCCCAACGCTTGCTGAGGACGTGCGCCATGGCTGAGAGGCGAGAGGAGGAGGCCCCCCACTCGATGGAGCAGGGTAAGAGGAAAGTTT